ACAAGAAGAAGTCAACACAAGAAGTCCACACATCTTCAAGTTGAGAAAGTCCACAGATCTTCAAGTTGTCCACACAACTTCCAAGAAGAAGAAGTCACACAAGAAGAAGTCAACACAAGAAGTCCACACATCTTCATGTTGAGAAACACAGCTCTACACATACGAAACCCGAATTAAACAAAACAAAATGCAGCTTCTTCAGCACTTCCTGATTTAAAAATTCTGGTTTAGCATGATGTATGAACCCAGTTCCTGACTTAGGCTCAGGTCGGCGAAATTTGCCTCTCTCGGGGAAACTAATGTTAGTGATTCTTTCCATCAGGCAAATGGACTGTCAGTTTCTCCTGCCTTCAAACGCATTTTCAGATCACTGATGCACCCGACAGATCCTCCCACCATTACAGAAAACAAGGGTGTCATGGAATATGTACACAGGTTCAAAGGACTTGATTGTCAGACAGCATATAGCATTTCAGGTCTTTTCCCTTACTCTGTTTAACTGAAGAGACAATAAAAACTAGATTCGTTTCCCAACCTTCCAGCTATGCAAGTGATTTACAGGCCCCGCTTTTCATGTCACAGTAGAAAGCCTTCCCCACTTTCAGCACAACAAAAATATGGGAGAGGTTGTATTTCTTCCCCTGCACTCTTACTCTTAGCTTGCAACCATGCTAAGCAAGGATATCTTAGTAGGTTAGGCTATGAACTTAAGGTAGGTGTATCATCATGTATATACCTTTCTAGGTTGCTAATTACTGAAACTGTTCCTAACTAGAATTAAGGAAGGGGCCTAGAGAATCGATTGGCAATTTTTCATCTCCTTCTGGCAGCTGAACTGGCAGCTGGCCAGGATCCAGTTGGTGATCCGCTGGCAGGCAAGCCTTTGATCTTCTTGTCTTTCATTTATCATCTGGTAACTGACCGTGTCATCCACACTGGCTGCTGAATGGTCCCACAGCACAATGCTCTTCTTCAGTGGGTCTTCTTCAAGTCTCTTCCTCAGATATTTCATGGACTTGGGACCATTCACCGAGTAAGAAGTCTTCAGCTTCAGCCTTCAACCATCAGCCCATTCCAGGACCACTAGCCAGCCTTTCTCTGGATTAAAGCCAACAGTCCATCTTCAAGCTGTCCATGGGAGCCATTCCAGCCTCTAGCCTCTATCGGTAACCTTCTACTTCCCATCAACGTCCTGTGGGTTGTAAGACTCCCCCCTTTGCCAGCTCCTATCTGATGCACCCCCTTCCCCTCTTCTCCTATGAGCATTATGTCCTATGGGAATCTAAACGAGGGGCTCTTAATCTTTTAGTGTCATGGGCCCCTCTGAGAGTCTGCTGAAACCTCCAACCCCCTCCTTGGAAAAATGTATTTAAATGCAGAAAATAAAATACATAGCTACTGTATAGAATGTATTACGAAGGAAACCATTTATGTGCAAACACAGTTATCAAAATATTTAAAAAGAATCAATATGTAATATATTACTTATATGTCCTTCTTTATTAATCTGTTAAATCAATAAGACAACATCCATTTTTAGGATATAATAAATTCAGAAAGTGAGACTGATTGAAGTTAACAAACATTTTTGGAGCCTAGAGGCCATAAATTACTCTGTTGTCTCCCTTCCTTATTGAATGAAAAGATGAATTTCAGTTAGAAGGTACTGAAAATAAAGTTGTAAGTTTTCTTCCATTCAGGTTCATAGACCCCCTGAAGTCCATCCATGGAACTCCAAGGGATCCCAGCTTAAGAACCCCTGATCAAAATTATCTTGTATTCCCAGCTCCTTATCAGCAAACCCTAGCACAGAATCCCTGCAGAGAGTCTGCCTGGAGGACTGGATACATGGGAAACTGGCCAGACACAATGGCTGAGAGCAGGGTTGTCACAGAAAGTTGGAATTTATTACAGAAAGTTCAGGTCTTATTGGAGGAGAGATCTTAACTGCTTGCCCTGCCAATTTTCTCCCACTTTAATATAGTGCCTCCCTGCCATTCATTCTCCTGTGCCCACCGGGTGACTGATCGAAGGCAACTAAACTTAAAAGGAAGTCCTGCTGAATTCAGTAAGCCTTGCACCGAGGCAAACATGTAGCTGAGCTCATGGGTGGTTCCCAAGCCCATTGCACATTACGACAGCACAAGCTTGTGCTGCCTCTGGGCCAGAAGTTAAGTCGAATAGGAATGTGAAGCCTCTGATGGGCCTTACTCATCATTCAATTTTTTAAAAAAAAAACCGCCCCAGAGAAAAACAGGTGAGCAAAACATCCCAGCTCGCGCCACTGCAGAGAAATTGCAATATCATTATCCTATACGCTGCAACTGTTTGCCACCAGGTGAATAGATAAAAATGAAAATGTGCGCTCGCCCGAGGCTGCAAAAGCTAGCTCACTGCAGGATTGGGGAATGCTTCAAAGTGGGTAGGACCATAAAACTGTCAATGTAAAAACCCCTGTTCCTTGCCAAAGTTGTTCTTTCTCCTGGGGAATCGCTGCTGCTCCTTGGGCTGAAGCCAGATGCAACTTGCAAGGAATAGGTCCTCTGGTTGCCCCACATCTGCTCCCAACCTCAGCGTCCCACTGATTCCATGCAAGAGTGTCTCAAGGCTGCAAATCAGAAGGAACCTGGTTGTGCCTTTTCTGATGAACACATTTCATGGAAGGCACCGGCTTTTGCGATTTTTTGCTACCATAGATGGTCAGCCCAGCTCTGTAGACTGAACCAAGAAATCAGCTCCACAAGAAGGCTAAAATTACTTCTAATAATATGGGTTATAGTAACAGTTGCAGTTCTGACAGTGCTTTACTTCCCCTACACCCCCCCCCCCCCTACTCATGTGAATTAGGGAGGTATCTACCTAAGTCGCTTCTTCTTGTTTTGGACTTAAGCCATGTTTTTCCCCTTGACACTTTGGTAACAGATCTGGACTATCTGTCAAGGTCATCTTCTCAA